ACACGCATGCATACTATTTATTGTCAAGCTTTTGTTCTTGACGTCTGTTGTTAAATTGAGAATAGATTAAATATTATTTATGGTGTACCTAGTCTTGGCGAAATTTGTGATTATAGAAGTATAAAATACAATCATAATAGTGTACAAACTTACAATACCAATTAATTAAAGTCGAATTTCGACTACTACGGGACCTCTAGTATTTTTAAATATCGTACTTTTTTAATTTTCAACTAAATAAACATGACTGTAAATATAATTTTCTTTGGCATAGTACACTTTTTATGCAGGACATTTAAAGCTTATCCTTGTAAGATATTTATGTGTCTAACTATAGCGTGAAATCATTTTTACGGTAAATAAATTATAGAAGATTTGCATCCCTGCCTTCGAAGTTGCCCTTTTGTGTTTTAATACAATACCCGAAACCGTTTAAGCGATAATCGTTTCGAACTGTAATGAGTTTTATGAACGTTACATTCTAACAACTAACGTTTTTAATATGGCAACACAGTAATTGTAAAACGCCGCGGTCGAATTGTTAATTCTAATTGATATTTTTTATAGGTTTAGTTTATCTACACGTGCCTGTACACCTGTAAGATACTTTTATGTATTTAAGGACCCTTCAAAAAAAAAAATTCTTTTCGGTTTTTTATGTCATGAAATTATATATTATTATATACTAGCGACCCGCCCTCGCTTCGCTTCGGAAACATTAAAACACACATGAAACCAAAAAAAATAAATAAATAAAAAATTTAAAAAAGTAGCTTATGTCATCAGGGACAATGTCGGCTTCTAATGGAAAAATAATTTTTCAAATCGGTCCAGTAGTTTCGGAGCCTATTCGAAACAAACAAACAAACAAATCTTTCCTCTTTATAATATTAGTATAGATAGCCGAGTGCCGCGATGTTACCCGCGGTTAATGTCGTATCGCAGGTGACACCACGAGGCGAAGCTAGTCTAAAAAAAGTAGCCTAAGTTACTCCTTATATCATCAGCTACCTATCAATGAAAGTCTCGTCAAAATCGGTCCAGCCGTTTCAGAGATATCTCGTAGGGTTCAGCCTGCGTTTGCAATGTAAGCGGAAAAAATGTAATTATTTACGACATCACATTAGAAACCTCAAAAATAACAGTATTTCTCCACTGTTTAATGGATGTTATTATACATATAAACTTTCCTCTTCAATCACTCTATCCATTAAAAAAAAACCGGAACAAAATCCGTTGCGTAGTTCTAAAGATTTAAGCATACATAGGGATATAGGGACAGAGAAAGCGAGTTTGTTTTATACTATGTAGTGATATACAAATGTGTAATTTCCTATGTACAATCATATTCTTATTATTCTCAAACCACGTTTTCTATGGCACTTATCTACCAGCCACTAAGCTACCAGCTTCTTAATGTGATGATGAATGAATTCATGTCAAATGAACTGTGCCAGACCAGATATTGTTTTTTTTTTTCTGTATCCAAATAAACTTAAATCTGAACAAATATTTTTTTAGATAATTTGTTGTTAGTTGGCTCAACATTTAAATGTCGAAGAACAACACTTTATTTGTGTTGTCCTTCACCACAAAAACTAAAGTATCCGATGCGGTAAAAATAAGAAAATGACAATAATTAACGCGCGAAAACGAATATGTTATTTTTTGCCAGATAACCTCATTATTCATTACTGAAATCGAAACACAGTTCAATGCGGATATCGTTGTCCTTGAAATCAGGAGACGTGTTGTCGAAAAAAAATCAAACCTGCAAAATTATAATTTGCGTAATTACTGGTGGTAGGACCTCTTGTGAGTCCGCACGGGTAGGTACCATCGCCCCGCCTGTTTCTGCCGTGAAGCAGTAATGCGTTTCGGTTTGAAGGGTGCGGCAGCCGTTGTAACTATACTTGAGACCTTAGAACTTGTATCTCAAGGTGGGTGGCGCATTTACGTTATAGATGTCTATGGGCTCCAGTAACTACTTAATACCAGGTGGGCTGTGAGCTACACATCTAAGCAATAATTAAAAAAAAAAAACTCAACTACCCTACAAATCGAAATGCATGAATGCTTTCCAACTGAAATAAGACAGGATACGTTACCAGTGAGAGGTCAAAATATTTCGGTCGTTAGCTTTTTATTACATGTAGATTTGTTTTCATCATCGTTGGAAACGGTTTTATAGTAAATTCATAAGTATCGATCCTATCCAAACCAAAGTAGAATCGTATGGCGTACACAAAATGTATACTGGGTATCTTACAGCTCAGTAGACTTCAACTTAATATAATTGTAAGTCACAAGATGTTAATATTGAGGCAAGTATCATCAAAGGAGTTGACGCTGTACTTATAGGAGGAACAAAATAAAATTGAATTAGATAACCCCATTCTTTACGTGCAAACTTTTCGCGCATAATAATTCCATCCATGCATAATACGTGCAATTTGAACAATTGTAATATTCAGGTATATTTAATGAGACCACTCAAAGCAGTCGCTATGGATTTCGAACAAAAAGAAACTTCGTGGTGGTGTGTTATTGCATAAGCACGATTTTCTTAATTTTTCGGCTCACTGATTATATACTCTATGAACATTAATGTTGTGTAGTCTATGGATCTATAGTCCCAGAAGCTTTGCCTCAATTTATTTTCCTCGTCTTTATTTATTTATAAATAGGATTTAAGATTAATGAATCGAAATTTGTGTTACACAATGTTTTAGTAAATTGAGAAAAAATCTGGAAGTTCGACTGTGTTTTCTGTTGAATTTTATAAAAGACACTAAACAGAATAAAACTAAATTGATTGCATAGAAATCACGTTTGAATATATGGACATAAAACCGAATAAGAACTTATAGAAATACCTAATAAATTATATTACATAGATTTACCTTCGAACGTCAAACTGCTCGGTACTAAGCGGATATCGAAGTTCATAGATTTTAAAGCGCATCGCATTGGAAAACGTATATGCTGTCTATATAAACGCGACACATAAACTGGTTCGATATAATATAATGGGGAAAAAGTTTCTTCGCATTTTTTTAAGAAACATCACAACATTTTTTAATATATTTTGTTAACTAAAGTATGTAGGTACCATTTTGTTCGATAACTTTTTTCCATCTTTGGGACATATTCCCATTGCTATATTATATTTTGGGGCTTCTGATCAAAATACCGCGACAATTGGTTTTCGCAGTTCTTTCGTGATGTTTACCTGACACTGCCTAAAGAATTCTGAAGAGACCGAAACAGTTGGAAATCTGAAGGTGCAAGGTCAGGACTATACGGCGGATGCATTAACACATCCCAGCCAAGCTCTCTTAATTTTTGCTGAGTGGCTAAAGATGTGTGAGGTCTAGCGTTATCATTATGAAAAACCACACTGCTTCTGTTGATTAATTCCGGCCGCTTTCTCTCAACTTCTGTCTTTAATCTCATCAGTTGTTCGCAGTAGATTTCAGAATCGGTGGTTCTGCCTGGTGGTAACATAATGCTCATAATAAAGGCTCATAATGAATAATGCCCTTCCAATCCCACCACACACACAGCATCACCATGTTATGAGTTAACCCGGGTTTCGCCATAGTCTGTGAAGCCTGACCGGCCTTTGACCACGACCTTTTTCGCACGTTCTTGTCGTACGTGATCCACTTTTTCATCACCAGCTATCAGCTTCTTCAAAAATGGTTCGGTTTCATTACGTCGTAATAAAGAATCACAAATGAGTACACGGTTCATTAGGTTTCTTTCAGTGAGCTCGTGAGGTACCCAAATATCGAGTTTTTTTTTGTTGAATTTGGAATTATCTTCTTTAAAATTTATACTTTTAATGATACTAAGACCAGGCAGACACAAATAGTATAGCCAGAGAGATTTTATTACAAGTTGTTACATACTATAATGCGAAAAGACTTTTCCCCAACCTTATAGAATTTACAGAAAATCGGAATTCATCAACACTGCCTACGTGGTTTGTCTATTGTCTTTTTTTTCCGCGCCTCACAATTATGTTCTAATCCATTCTGAAAATTACAACCCGAGATTTAGAAATTTTGTTCGTTGTGATAACATATTAACTTCTACCAAAAGTTGAAGTCATCAAAAAAGATAATTGGAACAAAATATAAATAGACAAAATAATTCAATTATTTGAAACGCAAACTGAAAATAATCTGTCATTCAAAATAATGCTTCAGGGCTACTTTTTTAATAGATTGTGTAATGTAATCTGAACTCTATGTGGAAATGCGGAAAATTTATCATCTCTCTCTTTAACGGGGTTTTGAAAAGATTCCCTTGTTGTGGATTAATGACCCTGACCTTTGCTAATGTCTTTGGCATTCGCAACTGCAACGAGGGCACCCACTAGTCGCCTGGTGGCCGGTGGGCCCGTAAATCTGCTATGGTATTATAACATCACCAAATTGAAGTAATATCGAAAAAAGTTGCCTAACAATGCCCTGGTGAGAATTTTAAACAAGCACCGAAATTTTTTTCAAGGTCCTAGACCAGTAGTTACTTCGAGTGGATAAAGTTCTGGATGATGCGATGTTGAATATAGATTTTCCATATCCAATTTTAGGCACTTTATTTATGGATGTCAACCGAAAAACACACTTCTATTTTGAAGTTCAACACGACACGACATCACGACAACAATTTCTTTAAAATTGTATACACACTAACCTGGCCTTTTTACATATAGCAAAAAAAACAAGAAACATTTAATTTATTTTCGATATTTGAATACTCGTTAACAATCCGGTTTATGTTTTGGCTTTTGGAAGAAAAAATAGTGAAATACACATTGTACGATGTTTATTATGACGCGATTAGCACTTTATATTTATATATTTTGGTAAATATTTCATATTTTTATTGAATTTAAGTCATTCTTATGATGTTTGTTCTTTATAATTCAATGTAAATACATACTTATTAGAGTAAAAATAAGATGTGTTTTAGATAAAAATAACACTTACTTTACGTTGTTTCTCATGTTGTAGTTCGTCGGAATATATTCTGCGTCCACACTGTAAATAAAACAAGATAAATGAATGCGTGTATTATCTACATTCGTTTAAGTTTACATCGACAATTATCACGTTTACGTGAATTAAAAAAAAAAACTTTTAAATCCGAATATGTGAAAAAGTCGTTTGTCCTTCGGGAAAATCAGTAAATCATATATACTAACGGTTGATCGGTGTTATTAGCCGGCTTATCTGTCATTGTGAATGGTAAATAGGATGTGTTATCCATTTATTAATTTAATACGGAAACAATTGCCGTCCAAAACACATTAGACACGCGCCGCGCCGACAGCCGACAGAACACTGTCGGCGAAACCAGCAAACTGTCGGCGATAACTAGGAAAAGGTGGTCGTCGGAAATCTAATATTAATAAAACAAAACTGGCTAAAATCGTACATCAATTTAAATTTAACTTGCAAAATTAACGTTCGGTAACGCTGTTCCTACCTGATAATTTTTAGAATTGACATTATTATTTTCCAGTTTCCGCGAATGTCGAGTACTACTATACTGGATCTGGTGAGATCGTTTCTGTCACTGTGATGTAATTGTAAATGAGCCATTTCCTACTTTAACTTCGAAACACGTAAGAATTATTGTACTTATGATCATTGCAAACCAAATTACTGCAGTTGATGCGGTTCATTAAAAAAAATATGTTGTAGATATTTAGGTATGTCTGTTAACTAATATAAAATTTTATAATCTATGTTTTAAAATGTATTTATAATAATATTTTAAAATATGTTTTTAGGGTCCGCGTTGTTTGTTTCTAAATGAATATGGTGAATGTGAAATGTTGACTATCGGTGATGCGTAAAAGCCTCTTTTGGCTTGTACAAGTTTTCTGATGAGTTCCAGCTTTCTAAACCTAATTACCGTATATCGTTTGTTGCTATGTTACTCTATAAATCAGGAGAAAAAGGTCACGAAAAGTCGGTCGACCATCATAGCTAGATCCGCGCTGTCGTATAATGTCACAACTTTATTCATCTAAACATACGTATATGGAAAGTTTTGACTTGATTAAATGAATCCTTGACATCCTAACATATTTGTAGTTATCATTGTTTTAAATTTAGTCCGACTTATTTGGGACTCGAACGGATACGTGACATTAAGAAAATAAAAAAATCTTAAACATAAGATCAGATAATGTTTTTTGATATGATAAAAACTGCAATTAAAATATAATTAAGATAACTGTATACATGAAGACGATAAACAAATTCGTTCACCTTTCTAGTTCCATAAATGGTAGTACTTTAAATGAAATAATATTTAATATAAAGATAACAAAAAAATAAATAAATATAAAATACATAATTTCCGTGACTTTAAGCGTAGTTCTGTTTATAATAACAGTTATCTACGTGCGTTGCACCAAAATAGACTAGTTGAGTTCATTTTATATTAAATTTTAATAAAAACAGCTTCGTCTTATCTCGGCTTTTCTCAAACGAAGACAGTCGACTTTAGAAAGAATTTCCATTTCATTATCTTACCTCTGAGGCTTTCTTTAGATGTATTATTTTAGATTACCACCGGGAGGTGCAAATAATGAAATCATTGGCTTAGGCTTAGACAAGGGAGGTTTCATCAAGTGCGATCTTTTGCTTATTATTATTGTAAACTAGCTGACCCGGCAGACTTCGTAATGCCTCAATCGATAAATAAAAGACCTAAACTTTTTTATAAAATAAATTTAGGACAAACAAAAAAAATGCGTCCGACGGGGGACACATCAAAGGAAAAACAAAATTTGTTATTATATTTTTATTTAATTCCGACCATTTTCATATTTAACTACCTTTTAAACCTTCTCTGGAAGTCCACAAATAATTCAAGATCAAAATTAGCTAAATCCATCCAGCCGTTCTCGAGTTTTAGCGAGACTAACGAACAGCAATTCATTTTTATATATAAAGATAGAAGATAGATAAAAAAGTTTTTGCCCAATGGTCGACATTCCACTTTAGCGCATCGCCAAGGAGTGGCATAATCATAAGAGCGACCGGTAGGCTGGTTCTGAACCATCGGAGTATCCCGGCACACGAGAGGCACCGCCTAGGCGGCCCGACCTGCTACCGTACCGAGCCAGTCAACCTTCCAGAGTCTTCGTTTCGCCTCAAAGGCTCCATCTATGGACCGTTCAGTCCCATACGGCCCAAAAAAAAGTTACCAACATTCGTACGTAGCCCATAACCAAAATCGCGATAGATTTTGGTCGAACTTTGCCAACTTTTTTCTTAATATTTAGATTAGGCAAATTGAATATTACATATCCTCTTTTGTTTTGTTTTTGTTTTTTTTTCTGGTAAAAGTGAGACAATTTGTTTCTCCAATTTGATTATTTCTAAACATTATTGATAACTTATGCTCGTCAATGGGTACTTGACAAAAACAATTTTGAGTTTTTCTTATAAAATTCAAAAATGTTTAATTGTTGAAAACACTAATGATGTTTAATAGCTACTTAACTATTTTGACTTTACTTTTCTATAACTAAAACATGATATTTTAAAATTGTAGAGAGCCGCAACTAATATTGATTTCAGGGAAATTTTCGAAAAGAATGAAAGGTATGTAACAAAAATAACGCAATGGGAATGCTTTTTCGTGCACGTCATGTAAACTTATCCATAAAATATTAATCTTACTCACACTATATTTGGCGTAGTATATTATACTTTCATAATCAGTCATTCATTTATATTGAGGTGAAATTTCTTAGCGTTTGGGCTTCGAAAACGCTTCCCTAGCGCGGTATATAATTAAATGATGTGTACCTTGATACTTTCCAATATCCTTTTAGTGGCGAAGTCTAACGTACGAGCTCTCGATTTAACTTCGTTTGTGGAGAAATAATTAAATTGAAACTTTGTTAGCAGAGCATCTCGCATAATGCATCAAAAGGGCTGTTTAATTTCGCACAGCCGCAACTTGACAACGAATGTCATATGTTATTTATGTTACGCAACAAGGTCTATCCAAGTAGCGATAAGTCAAAACCAATTTGCATAATTTTGATGAGACCATACGTCTAGAGGCGTGAAAATGTGCTCATTAAATTTTGAACAGCATCTTTATTGACCACAACCACTTTTCTTTAATTTTTAAGTGCTGCAAACCATAAAATACCTCTCATTCTTTTTATTGCTCACATGTAGGAAAACGACTATTACAGAGGCGTTCGCATATACACACCCGATGTTATGCAGGCGAAGTAAAATGTCCCTTAGAAATAAGGTGACACTCTACAAAACTTGCATACGCCCCGTCATGACCTATGCAAGTGTAGTGTTCGCTCACGCGGCCCGCACTCACTTAAAATCCTTTCAAATTATTCAATCCTGATTTTGCAGGATAGCCGTCGGAGCCCCGTGGTTCGTCAGGAACGTCGACCTCCATGACGACCTGGACTTAGAGTCCATCAGTAAGTATCTTCAGTCGGCGTCGATGCGCCACTTCGATAAAGCGGCACGACACGAGAACCCTCTCATCGTGGCCGCCGGTAACTACATTCCCGATCCTGCGGACAGAATGGAAAGCAGTCGACGTCGCCNACCTGGACTTAGAGTCCATCAGTAAGTATCTTCAGTCGGCGTCGATGCGCCACTTCGATAAAGCGGCACGACACGAGAACCCTCTCATCGTGGCCGCCGGTAACTACATTCCCGATCCTGCGGACAGAATGGAAAGCAGTCGATGTCGCCCAAAACACGTCATCTCGGATCCTCCCGATCCACTAACGGTGCTTTTAGGCACTTCAAGCACCGGTCACCGTTCTCGTCGAACCCGTCGCTTGCGACGAAGGGCTCGACGAGTAAATTAATTCTCAGACACAGCCCACTGAGTTTCTCGCCGGATCTTCTCAGTGGGTCGCGTTTCCGATCCGGAGGTAGATTCTGCGAAGCACGGCTCTTGCTAGGGTTCGTGTTAGCAACGTCGTCGGGTTTGAGCCCCGTGAGCTCACCTACAAACGTTCGGGTTACGTTGAAATAGCCTCTCAAGGCTCTCAGCTTAGGTAGGAAAAAAAAAAAAGAAAGCATATACACTAACCATTAATTTTAGACTTCTATCATTATACAGTGTAGCATCGCAATAAATTGTTCCGACGCCACCTAGTGGACATTCATATCTGGTCTGGGTCGATGCAGCTTAAGAAAAGCTGGTATTTTGTTCAAAAATATAAAAAAAATCGGCTCTGAATAGGTGAAATAAACAAAAGATCCAAAAAATGGGGTACCTATGCAATGTTGTTAATGTGAAAACGAAAAAAGTAAATTGCGTAAGTATACTGAGGGATGACTAAAAAGTTTAGGACAAATGTCTTCAAATACCAACTCTGTGGCCGTATAAGGGTACCACCAGCATGTTTATTTTTGTATATACCTAACAGCTATGCGTTTCTAGTGTGCACGTTGTGTCAGTGGCATTTTCAGGTACATATCTATATTTATTATGGCACTGAGACGTGGCCTTATGCGAAGGTTCAAGATCACCCAAAGAGCAATGGAGAGGGCTATACTCGGAGTTTCTCTACGAGATCAAATAGAAAATGAGGCAGTGGGCAGGGCACATTGCTTGTAGAACGGATGGCCGTTGGGGCCGGAAAGTTCTTGAGGGACAACCGCGTACCGGAAGACGTAGCGTGGGTAGGCCTCCCACAAGATGGACTGACGACCTATTGAGGTTCGCGGGGATCCGCTGAATGCAGGTAGCGCAGGACCAATCTTTGTGGCTTGGGGGAAGGCTAATGTCCAACAGTGGACGTCTGTGGGCTGAATAGTAGTAGTATCTATGTTTTTTGTTTTCAATTTAATAAACAGGGTGAATGATATCAAGGCCCACCCGTGATTACGGGAGGCTATAGACATTCATTACAAAGTAAATGTCGCCATTCAATAAGACATGAGGTCTAGGTTGTTGAAATAGAACGGGGTGAAGGTGAAGTTGAAAGAAGAACGCATGACTGCCTCGCGACAGAAATAGGTGGCACCTACCCGTGTGGGCTTACAATGCACCCTTACAATACACCAGACGCCGGTTGATGATCGCAGTCCGCTGAGTATCAGCGTACGCTGCCCACTCATTCTCAGACGTATCCCTTAGTCGCCTTTTACAATAATTATTGTTCCCGTATTCTAAGCCAATAGAACACGGCCAAAATACCCTCATTCTCGTTTTCGAAGTCTCATAACTTATACTTATGACTTATCAGCTGG